GTGATGTGTGGGGATGCCTCCCTAGGCATTCCCTACCTTTCCAAGGCAAAACACAAGTGTTTGGTGCAAAACCAGACACTAAACAGTCGAGTTCGGAGATCCTGAGGCAAGGCGCGCGAGCCGAGACCTCTGGGAACTCCAAATGATGCTTGGTTGTGGACCAAGCACTTGTGTTTTTGCTTCTGAGGGAAGAGGGTGGCTTGTTGGCCATTCCCTCAACCCATTGGCCAAGGCATGAAGCCATCGGCCTTGTTTTCTTGCCATCGGCCAAAAGTGTTGGCCGATTGGCACTCTTTTTGGTCAATCGGCCCTTATGTTGGTCGATCAGCCATGTTTTCTGGCCGAATACTGTTCATCTACTTTATGTAGATATTTTATGCCAGCTGTGATAGCTGGCACCAGCTCTGCCTCCCTCCATACACGTGTATGGAGGGATTTCCCTCTAAGCAAGCTTGTTGTGTAAGCTTTGCAAGAGGGACTTCTATAAGAGGAGAAGTCTTCTCTTTGTTCTAGGTTAGAAACTTTGAAGGCAAAACCAAAGCTTATACATATAGATACACCCTCTCTCTATATTTCCCTCTCTCTCCTCCCTTTATGTGTGTTTCTTGGCCTAAAAGTGTGATTTTACCTTACTTTTGCACTAATACACACACTATTACACCTTGCTCCGAGATTGAGGGACTTTGAGGATTGATTCTTGAGTTTTTGGGCTGTTTTTGATCAGAAGAAGAGGGCTGCATTGGCTGTTCTTGAGGTGTGCTTCAAGGGTGAGCACTTTGCTTTAGTTTCCCCAAACTTGCACTAGCCTTTTACCTATCTTTCTTACTAATTTAGTTTTTGTGCATAACATAAAAAAAGCTTATATTTTCATGCTTAAGAACTTTCATTAAGGGTCTTTTGTGGTTTGAGTTCAAACTTAACCTCTTAGGCCTTATTTGGTCTTTTTTGTTGCCTCTTTGGTAAGGCCTTGTTTGCTCAAGTGTTTTGGTCTTCTCACCACTGAAAACCAGTGGATTTTCAGTGGTGAGAAAGGTGGTTTGAAGTCTTGCATAGGGGAGGGACACCCCTCTCCCTTCATTGTCTTATTTCCTTGCATTTTGGCTTAAAGGGTAACATGCATGCTTGCTTGGTTTTGGCCTTTTTTTTCAGAGGTTTTTGGGTGTTTTTAGGTCATATGTCATCTCTGTTTTAGTCGGATTTGTGGCCTTTTGCATGCTTAGTATACTTGCTTTACATTCCTCTATTTGGCCTAGAAATGCACCTTGTATTTAGGCCATGATTCTTGCATGTGTTGGCTTAGTTCCATGAAGGTGTTGGCATTATTTTACCATGTTTAAGGTCTGTTGGCCATTTATTTCAGTCATGCTTCCCTTGTTTGGTGTCACCTCTTTGTGTTTTTGCTTGTAAGCTTTGAGCATGTTGACCTCTAGCATGCGTAGCTATGACCATCCTCATGATTTGGCATCATTTAGGACCATATTTCAGTTCATAAATCATGTTTATATGTGTGCATGTGTGACCTCTTTCATGCCTTGAGGGTGTGCCCTCTTATGCCTAGAAATGAGCTTCGGCGCATACATCTCTTTGGGGCCACTTTAGCTGCCATATTAATGGGTTTTGGAGTCTATTTTTGCATGTTAAATTTCTGTTTTGGCTTGTCCAAATTCATGCCATGAGTGGTCATGTTGGTGGGAGTGAAGTGCCCCCTTTTGTGCCTTAACCTTAGGATCATTGGCTTGCTTGTTGGCATGAGTATTTGTCCACCCTTTTAGGCACTTTTGGCCACTGTTTTGGGATGGATCAAGGTCTGCCCCTTTATGGTTTAAAGCCTCTTTGCATGCTTGTCTCATGTCCATTGCATATTTGCTTCATTAAGTGATGTAATATGTTGATCCCATTGCTCAAATTGTCCATGTTTGCCTTGCATTTGCATCTTGCATGCCTAGCATTGCATACTTGCCATATTAGTTGCATGGCATTTGGCATGCCTTGCATTTCCAATCTCATGTTGTACCTTTGAGGCATTGTTTGCATAACATGCATTGCATTACTTGGTTTGGGGTGTCAAACCAAGTGTGAGGGTTAAGTAGCGTTCATACTATAAGTGATGTAATGCGCCTTGACTCTCGGTCACCGGGGCCCTTGACTTCGGTATGATAGGTTCTTGGTCCTCATTTGTGTGATTGCATGCATTTTTACATCAAGTGGCAAGCTTGATCTCTTGGGCTATCATGCACCATTGACGGCCCGAGTATCGAGGGCCATGCTTCTCTGAGTTCAAAGCATGATGGGAAACATGACCGTGCTCACATGTGCCTGAAATCCCATGCCATATACTGTCTGTCTTCTGCTGCTATCAAAACTGTCCTCTGCAGGAATCTTCTGCCGACCGACAGAATTCAATGTCGACCGGCCATGTGTGAATGGCCAATAACTCTAACAGCAGCCGATGGAAATTACATTTGGCCGGTGGGAATTTCCTCCAGCCGGTGGTATTCTGCAACATGCAAGGAACCTGTCCTAAGGCTTTGGCAATTTTCAGAGAGACAGGACAGTATAAACAGAGGCGGCAGTGGTATGGTATGGGCTTTCCAAGCGAGCCGGGTTTCAAGCATGCATCATTCGCGGATCCCGAGGCGGAGGCTGTGGCCACCTTTCTCCCTTTTTTGCATTCTTTCTATTAATTAATTAGAAATTCTGTAATAATTAATGTATTTGTTATTCGGACTGTAATATTTATTCGGACCCTCCGAGTGAGGGCAATTGTGTAATAAGTGTGCGTGAGTGGGTGTATGTCTTCCAACCCCACGTCTTTCTTCCCTTTTATTTACCTGCTTATGATGGTAGACTAGGGCATCTTTAAAATTAGCATACCTTATGCAATGCATGTGTGCATTCATATATTTGCCTTGCATGCACCGAGCTCGGCGCATCACGCTAACTGCATTTGTACTTCAATTTCAAAATTGAATACGTGATAGTTGAAGCATGTCACATACCATGTTTAGGTTAGCCGAGCCTATCTAATTGCATCCTGTATGTGCTGCATTAGTCAATTTAACATAAACTAGGATCACGCATGTTTGCTAACCAGTTTATTGTTTTGGCTTGGAGTACAATGTAAGTGTTTTATGCTTTAGCATCTCGCATGCGTGTGAATGTTAACATGATAGCATACTTACCATGTGGCTAGATGCTTATGTGATAAATTGTTTGAATGCCTGTGGGTGAAGGTTGGATTGTTTGAGTTGGAAAAACTCGTTGAAATCCGTGTTTTAGCCTACTCCCGAGTAGCAAATTTCAAAACATTTTCAAAACAAAACGGATATGCAATGCTTATTCCCAAATTAGGCAATCTAGTATACTTGTTTGCTGTGCGCATAACATGGTAATTCTAGGCTAACAATTGGAATAAGAATACATAATGTTTTCAAAAACGGATATCACGGTTAGTAGAGGCCGATCTTCGGATCGGGCGAGAGGGGGTGCTCATAGCTGACCTTCCCCAATTGTACCCTAGCTCCCGAGCCGAGACAACTCCGGTGATGATGGACATGTGGCCTTCGGCACCGAGTCAGGGTTTCCTAAATTCCCCCATGAAAAATATTTAGGTGGCGACTCTGTATCTGGCAAAACAGTCCATGTTTGGCACTTCTTTTCAAAAACCTGTTTCTCAAAACAATTTGCCAGATTTGGACTCTTTGGTTCAAGATTAAGAACCGTGACACAAATCGAGTTCGAACTGTAGCGGGGTCCCTCACGGGCGTGTCTACAATTAATAATTAAAATTATAAACTTTATAACTTTTCTAATCATCACTTATCAGTATTTCCCCAAAACAATTATGAAAAACAAACTATTTTCTTGGAAACATCAAAATAGTTATTTTGAATGAATAAAGCTTGGGACCCCCAGTGGGGGTGCTGGGGGTCCATTGTGATTGGTTGAAAAAACTGTTTTTTTTTTTTTTTTTTCTTTGTGTTTGGCCATTGGCAGCCCCCCATGTGGCACTGGGGGTGCTGGGGGTGCCAAAATGGTGGGGGTCTGTAGCATTTCCGATTTTGAATTTTCAAAGTTGTTATAGTACAAATAAAAACAAGGAAGCGGCTTTTGTCCAGTTCGAAATCAGACTGGACCGTACTGTTTGGCCTGTGAGGGCTTATCATGGTCCTGTTTTGATAATCCGAACTGTTAATATGTAAAATTCATCGAGTACTATATGTCTATAAAAAATCACATTGATCGTATATTAATAGCTGTGTGATCAAATCAATTTTGTATAAAAAAAAAAGGACGGTGAACAAATTAACAGTTAATATAAAACTAGTTCGATGACAGAGCTATCGATATCCGATCAACGTGATTTTTTACAGACATATAGTACTCGACGAATTTTACACATTGAACGACTTGGATTATCGAAACGGGACCCGTAGTGGGCCCCACAGACCCAACAGCACGGTCCAGTCCGATCGAACTAGACAGAAGCCGCACCTAACAAGAAATTGATGTTTTCCATCTTTTCATTATTTTGTTTTTGAAAAGATGAAAACATGAAAACTGAAAACACAACCAAACGCAAAAATCAAGAACAAGAAAAAAGGGATGGAAATGGCAGAAGCACCAAGGAATTCTCCAGAAAACTCTTTCATCTCCTTCCACCACGTCTATTAGGATTAGCACATTAATGCAAACAAAGTGATGGGGTTGTTTGGAATGTCCTAAATAAGTGTAATTTTTGTCTTTTTGGACTAAAAAATTGAGAAAAAAAATATGAATGTTTTGGTTAACTTTTTGACTTTTTATGGAAAAATGTGTATTAAAAAATTGTATAAATTAGTGTGTAGGGGTAAATTAGGATTGAGAATTGTGCAACCGGTAATTATTGACTTTTGGTGAATAGTGTTAACTTTTTAACTTTTTGAGTAACTTTTTGACTTTTTAACTTTTTAACTTTTTATGGACTTCCCAAACTTGCCTAAAACTCCAATGCACTTAACTGGAACAATAATACATATAACCATATTTATATAAGAACAGTAAATCACTTGAAAGGTTTCAAGTTTCGCAAATAAAATTATTGCAGGACACGAACCAATTATCATCCTTTAAATCATGGTGGATTGATTCCTTGTCATACGTCACTTGCGTAAACGCCTGGACTGATTCATAATCGTACGGCATAGAGTAAATGCCTTCATGAAGAGAATGAAATGTGGAACCCATAGTTGAGCACTGGTTCGCTTCTTAACAACATCACCTTCCAGACTGAAATGGAAAACATTGAAAGATTAGCCAAAGTTCAAATATAAAACATCTATCTTTGACAATCAGTTGAGAAATTGGGTACTTGTATGAATCATGGAAACTGAATCCTGCAATTTTGCTTATATTACTTTTGAAATGGCTTCACCCTAGTTCAAGTCTCTCTCATTGTTTTAATGGTGCATTCTCATTCTTCCTACTCTCATGACAAAGAATACTATGCATGACAAGCATTTCAAAAGTAGAGGGTCAATCACCTATACAGGCGATTCACCACCACTTCAGGAATCTACCTGCTGGCTAAAGTAGAGAGTATTGCATAAGTAACCATGAAACGGTGTTCGTTAATAAACAGGCCATTTGCATTGAGGCATGCCAATCAATGATTGTGCCTATTATTTAAACAAACCAAATAAAAGGATCCCAATAGAGTGTGATTTATTATGATGCCACAACATCCTCAAACCTATCCTCCAGGCTCCAGTCTACCGGTAGATAAACAATGAGCCTCCAATCTGTCTATATGCCAATATGTTGGACTCGAGGATTTGGTTATAAGACAAAAATATCTGGTCTGGAAGCATCTCAAAGCTTTTACTGGCTGTTTCTCAGCTGTACTGTCTCTCATATAAGATTGTTTTAGTTATTACATTACACCAACTTAAACTCAACAAACCCTACCAACAATCTAGCAGACCAAAAATGTTGGGATGTCTATTAGCTTACCCATAATTATATAACCCAGCCAGCCAATGCACCCCAAATTTGGCACGTCAAAGTTCTCATATGAAATTCAACTAATACCATTGAATGACATAATATATAACCAGCCAAACTTATGCCACACATGAAATTCCATTTTTGACATATATAGCTCATCCCAATGACATGAGGAAATAGCAAGAAAATAAGCTATGCTTATGGTGAGCGTTCAAATCTTATGCAATTGTCATTTCTATAACATGGAGCATTTCACACTAGTTCTACACAAACAAATTGATGGACCAAAATGGCAAAAAGAAAATTAGGAAAGGAATGAAGGAATCAGCTCCCAACTAAAACAATGGCTTGTTAACAAAACTTGAGTAAAATGGTTTATTGAGAAGATGATTTAAAGAGTAAACTTAACAAACCTGAACGAGAGAAATATCCAATTCACTTGGGAAGGTACTGTGACCACGAGGGGATTCAGGTGAACTCATATCATGCACACTTTCCCCTGCATTTTCATTGGGAGACTGAGTAATTACACTCTCTTGAGTGTCTTTTCCTTTATACGAGAAGTTTGAGGTCGAGCAACTGGATAAAGGAATAGAAATTCCGGTCCGTTTTGAAGGAAGATCAAGGCGCTCAATCATTCGTGCAACACCAGCAATACCTGCATTCATCTCACGTTGAACTCCTCTTCCCAATTCTCTGGCTGAGATATTGTGCGCAAGTAGCTTCTCTTTAAATCCTCGGGTACTTTTTGAGATTGATTCCTTATATCTGTTGCACAAGAACCATACATCCAAGAATCAAAGAAATGAAACAAGCAAGCATCAGCTCCTAAAGAAACCAAACTATCAAAAAAAAGTACCTGGCAGAAGCTGTAGAAAATTTCAATTTAACAGACTCCGAGAAAGCAAGAAATTCAGATGAGCTTGGTCTTTGTGGACTTTTGGAGCTGCAAAGGACTCTAAATAATTACCAAACATGTAGAAAGTCATAGAATCATGTGTGTGTAAGAACAGTCCGAAAAAATAGACACAAGGGATATTAGGTTGCAACAAACTTCTACATTATCAAACTCCTTCATTCACGTGTAACATTCAAAAACTATTCATCGATTATAAGAAATGAGTTAAGATTGTGTTGGTTTATTGAAATTAATTCATGAATATATATATATATATATACCAAAATACAAGGATCAACAGTTCTGGCAGGTCTCTGTTGCCAACAGAGTTGGGTTCCACATTCACAACCACTGGAACCACAGACCTTAGAGTGCTAAATGTTGGTGAATCACCCTCCGAAAACTCATAACTGGAAGTTTGGCGTTCTTCTGGTGATGTTGTGCGCAAATGCTGCACATCAGGTAGAGGTAGATCTCCAGTAGGAACAGAGAGCAGAACCAGCGGAGGACCAATACCAGAAGATCTCGGCCTTCCCCTTCTCTCAACATAATGAGCTCTGCGTGCTGCAGCAGCAAAATGCCTCATAATACGCTCATCGAAATCTGAATCATCTCCATAAGAATTAGCCTGAGAGACAAATTTCATTATTAGCAAGCTTTTTAACATAACCAATTTGAAGGATAAGTAGATTCAAGTTAAACCATAAAACTCACAATATTCATTTCATAGTCCTCATGGATATGGCGAGCATTGCGCCTTGACCTCAAATTCCTCTCAATCTCCACTGCAGCTAAGAGCTCTTGACTAAAGGTAGAAGAAAGAAAATTGAAAATAAATAATAACTTCATGAGATTGAATTCATCACTAAGACACCGACACTAAGAAATTCATGAGTTAACAATAACAAATTTTTTGTGTGCCAATGTGATTCTTTCCACACAAAAATCATCTACCTGGAAGGGTCTTTCAAGACAAGAAGCTGCCAACATATAGGGCACTCTTTGCTTCTTTGTGACCTGAAGAGAAACAAGTTACCATACGAACAAACGAACACAATGTACAAGTAAAAAACATGCATGTGAACACATGGGTGTGAAATGCCATCACTGAAATATTGGTTCTAAAGTTCTAGACAGTTCAAGTTTAAACTAAATAAAAATAGTAAGTGCATCTACCATTCAAGAATACACTGGAGATGATACTCATGTCTACAGTTGGTGACCTGTGAAAAGAAACAAAACTTCAAAGATTAATACTTGCTTGAACCTACGTGTAATTATCTATAAAATGAGCAAGAACAACCAATATATCAGGACAAGTGTATTTATCATAAATTACTAGCAATCATTTGCCAAATTCGCTGTCACGACCATAAAATTCAAAACTTTATGACGCAAACCCAATCATAAAGAGAAAAAGAGTTGCAACAATAGAAATTCAAAAGAATAACATAATTGACCCCCAAATATATCCGATGAAGATGACAGAATTCCAGCCAAATCAATCAATTGAACTCTAAAATTAAACAGGAAAACCGGATTTATTGCCACTATTGATCCAGCACAATATATCAATGATGTAGAAAAAGGCACAAATTGACAATCTGAGATCATAGAATCACAAAATTCGATGAAACCAAGCAACCAACCTAATTACAAACTTGAAACTCTATGAAACATATACAAACCAAACGATGATAATCAGTGACAAGATTTCGAAAGTGAGAGCAAAAATTAAGCAGCTATTTTATTTCACAAATAAACTCATTCCAACTAGTTCAAAGACCATGTCTCGAGTTGTTCAGGTTCGAAGCTTCAAATCTCAATTCAATTCAACCTAAAATCACAAATTTAACATTCTTCGACTCTACTAAACACATACAGTGAGAGGATCCTGGGAGTTGAAAGGCTCGAGATAGATACTACATGCGTTTTCTAAATCATCGTCGTGATCAGCAACAGTAGCTCCGGATGACGATGCAGCCGAAATCATCGGAGGATTGTCGATTGAGGATACCAAATCCGCTATTTTTAGAGTGATCAAGACTCCAGAGAGAGAGAGAACAATACTTAGGTAGAGATGACAGAGATTATAAGGTGAAGTAAGGAACCCTAGAAAAATGAAGAGAGAGAGAGAGAGAGGAATGAAGAGGAAGAAAAGAAAGGGGCAAAAAACGCAGGAAAATTCCGCGATTCAGACGGTTGGTAGAAGTAGAATCAATCAAACCCGTCGCAAAGGTGGAGCATAGGGACAGGTTCCAAAGAGGGGGAAACATAGGGACACGTCCGGGCATCTGGGCGTTTCCAAGCAAAGGAGTGGTATAAGCATTGGAACATGTTCCAAATGCTCTTAACCAAAGAGAGGTCCAACCCGTCGCACGCACGAGGAAAAAGAACAACAATGCCTAAGGCAAACGAGATTAAATGCAATAGATACACAAAGCCAACACGTACGATAGATACACAAAGGTGAACATGCATGTGTGATAGATACACGTTACAAGCAATGTAAAGCATGATGTCTAGGAAATGCAATAAACAAACAAAGCGGCATTTTAGAAAGCACCTCATGGGATGAGTGGTGAGTGGCGATGAACTGCTCTACTCTGGCGAGGATCTCCCCTTGTGTTCTTCGAACACTTACCTTCAATTCGCAGTACAAAGGTCCTGAAATACTGACAAGGAGTAACCTCTGCATGTAGAAGTCATGGATGCCGCTTTTCTTCCTGATCATATTCACAACTTTCCCTATTCTTCAACGGGGTGATAGACTAGGTTGGTTCAATATCCAGAATTAAGGCGCATACACGCTATCTCAATCTATGGGGCTTCTATACAGATTTCAAGCCGAGGACACGCCTCTGGGTATTTAAACCAGACTTTAGTCTCGGAAATCCCGAACCTTTGCGTTCTAGGCATCAGCCATTCGAACTCTAGTTTCCATCGTCGCAGTTGGTCTCCTAGGAACTCATTGCAAACACGACCAAGATGCCCTTGGCAGGGAATGATACTCAGGGAGAGCACTTTTGATCGCCATTTTGGCTTTGAAGCAGGTATGAACTTGAGCTTGAGGTAGAGGTATACTCATACTTCGAAGCATTGACAAGACCTGAGGAAGTACATCCGGAATACAATCTCAGAATTTGCAGAAGGTGAAACACACTGAGATGCTCTACATTTTCCCTCTTTTCTTTTGCTTTGCAGTCCAGAACCTAGATAGCTTCAGATAGGTCCTTGTTCTACTGTTCTCACATGACCTGGGTTGAACCCTGCAGTTTTATGAAACAACAAATCCTGTTTTGCACAAATATGGAGAATGACACAGAACTCTGAGCACAAAACGATTTTTTTTGAAATTGGGTATTGAGCCTACGACTGAACACAGCGCATCATGACTCAACAAAGGAAAACAAAGGTAAACAACCTAAACGCATCTATTGACACTCAAAACGACTCAAAACAAGAATCGAGACAAACAAAAACACACACACACAACACTTAGATGTGTTCTAACAGTGGGAGACCTCTCAGTTCACGAGGAGCCTGTTTCTTCGGATATTATTTCCCACCCTTTCTCATTTGTGATTCTTACATCACTCTGGCACTCAATCTATTTTTCTCTGAAAAGCCCTTTCCTCACTTTTTCTTTCATCGCACATCTCTCTATTCCTCAATCTCTTTGATTTTTTTTATCCCTCCCCTAGATGGTTGATAGATAAGTAGGAAGTTGTGGGCTCTTGCCCCAGTATTCAACTAGATTCTTCTTCTTCTGCTCACAACAGTGAACTTTCCCGCAGAGGGGTTGTGCTACAACTGGGTGTGTAGCAAATCTGCAGCTAACATTAGTTGATGACGCCCTTGGCCAGTTCTGATGTGACCAGACCTTTTCGGATAAGGGAGTGGAATATCCTACTCCCTTTCCAGTTCGTGCTTCGCATTTGGCTTGATACCTCGCTGCTCGGAGGATGAGAGAGCTTTCTGCCCTTTGCTGTTAGCTTCAGTTATGCCATTTTCTGACAGGTAGAGTGCCCTTTCTGGCAAGTAGAGTGCCCTTTCTGGCAAGTATGTTGACAATGGGGAAAAGACAGAACACTTGACTCAACTGTGCCCTAGTTCATCATTTTGACCATTTTTTTTGTTTTTTGACTTTCTGCTAAAACAATTTTGACCAATATGAGAGTTAGATTAACATGCTTGTTCGATTTTCTAATTTGAAATCATGCAAGTCAGGTTATGAGCACTGAAAATTTTCCTTTTTTGGGTCCAAGAAATGGTCCAATTTTGGAAAAAAGGAATAATTTTTTAAAAAAAATTAGTCAACCTCATTAAAAATTCTCAAAACTGTTTTTACAAATGGCCACTGCTCGACCAACACAGAATTTACTCTCAAGATGCACAACCTCATATCCAAAACAATGGAAAATTGCCCCTTGTCTAAATGGCACTGCACGGCAATGGAAAGTTGCCCCTTGTCTGAATGGCACCACAGCGCACTGTAATCAGTCCTCAAAGTGACGATCACAATCGAACTCTCGGATACAGAGAAGACAAAGATGATCAGAACCATTACATGGACACAGTCGATTCGGAAGTGTTTATAGCTGGACTACAGAATGAAGTTGCCTACGTATCCCAAAGATGGGAATCAAGCCTGACGTAGTTCCGGGTTAGGTTCACTCGGGTATTAACCTCTCCTTTTGTGCTCTAACTTTTGCCAAGGCCGCCCTTTCGGGTTTTCAACCTTGCGAGCTCTGTTTTTCTTTTCTTTTCATTTGTTTTTCTTCATTTTCTTTTTTTCCATTCTTTTCTTCTTTTCATTTTTTATTTCTTTTTCATTTTTTCATTTTTTTTCATTTTCTTCTTTTTTCTCCGCTCTAACTTTTTCCTGGGTCGCCTTTCCGGGTTTTCGGCCCAACGAGCCTCTCAAGGGTAAAAGTGTAGCTTTGTCCATGTTGACTGGTCATAGGTTCTCGAAGCCATCTGAATCCAGGAGAATGGTTGCTGTTTGTAGAAGTCCATCCAACCGGGTCTGAATTGCCCCCAGCATTGTGGATAGGAACTCGATTGTCCTTCAACAAAAAACTCTTTTCTTTCCTCCCTTCTGGGATTTGGCGTTCTTGCCGATCTTCGCTAGCTTGAGCAATGTCCTAATTTTTGACTTTTTGAGCACGTCTGACATTTTTTGTGCCCCTAGTTCAAGGGCTGCTTCTCTTCTAGCTTTACCACTTTCTTTTGGTAACATCTGATCTTTTTGATCTAACTTTCTTGCCACTAGTTCATAGGCTGCTTCAAATCTGGCCTAGCGGGCCTTACATTATGGTTGACCGTTGAACATTCTGAATCTAAGTTCAAGGTTTGAAAGCAAAGGGGTTCGAGTCTCGAGGCTGAGACCGATCCTAGGCTGCGCAATCTCAAGAGCGATTCCACACAGGTCATCGCAGGATCGCGCAAAACATTTTTTTTTTGAAATCTTTTAAGAAAGCGACTAGTCACTCGCGCTGAAGACAATGTAGAACCAATCTAGATCAAGCTAGGATCCTTCCTAGTACTCACATTAACAAACATAATCTCATTCATTAAGGGCTTAGTATGCCTTTCTTTCTCTCAGTTGATCGAATTTTTGCAAATCCCGAGGAATTCCTTCCTCTTTGTTTTCATCACAGTGTTCGAAAAAGTTTTGAAAAACTTAGGTCGATGCAATGAGTTTAAGGCACAGAAAAGTAGGTGAAAAGCACTGTCGTTTCATTCAAATCTTCTGGCACAACTGGCTTCTATGACAACCCCCACCACTGCTTACTGATAACACTACTGATTAATGCTAATCTATGATTAAGCATGTTAATTGACTGACTGACTGAATTATTAAACTGATTGATTGATTGTGCTAGTTTGAATGCAATTCTATTTGTTGACTGTTAAATTATCTGTTCATGTTTTATACTTTAAACTGCAAATTGAAGGCCTTATCGACGGCCGAATCTAAAATTGATTGATGTTTTGTGCTAATTAAGATTTATATGATTTTATGATATATTTAATTAAAATGTGATTTGGTATGATTAAATTACATTAAATATTGATAAATTACAATAGTTGGCCTTATTTACAACCTAGCCACTTAGTGGCCCACTCCATATCGTATTTTGAGACTTAGAATCAACACTTCTTCAGTCATTTGCTTGCACCAAACCGACTAGAGAGAGAGAGCTAGGAGAAAAACCTGGTTTCATCTTGATTTGCTTAGAGGCTTAGGGATTTTGGAAGATAATTGGCAAATTGAGCTTCTAGACTTGTAATTGAGAACCCAAGGTAGGATATTCAACCTCTCATTAATGTATTCAAGTTAGTTCTTGCATGGTTCTTGATTTATGGAAGAATTGAGTCTTGATTTAATCTAATAATGTTGAATTGGAGCTTAATCCATGCATTCATGTACATGGTCTTGCATTTTGAGGTTGTTCTTCATGAAATTCCACATGCATGATCATATCTTGAGCTTAGTCCATGAATTCATCTTGTTTTTGAGGCAATTGAGCTCATTTGAGCAAGTAATTGAAGCTTTGAATCTGATTGAACACATGCATGTTACATTTGAAGTATGTTCTTGAAGTTTGGTTTGAAATTGGGTTTAATTGACTCATCTTTGGGCCTTGCTTTTACAAATTGAGCTTTGAATCATGTTATACTATGAGTTTTAAAGTGTTTTCTAGAAAATTAGCCCAAAAGGATTGAATTTGGTATATTGAAACTTGATTTTGAGCTTGAGGTTCAAATTTGGAAATTCCAGATTTTGGACTCCCGCTCGAGCGGGGTAAGTGGCGCTCGAGCGGGAAATTCGCGTATCCAGCACTTTTGTTGTGTTTACAGTCCGCTCGAGCGGGGTTTTGCATGCTCGAGCGAGGACTTGTGTCACACGCTCGAGCGAGTGTCGAGCGCCCATCGAGCGTGATTTTCACACATCCAGTACTTTTGCAGTCCACTCGAGCGGGAAAGTTTAAGCTCGAGCAGAGCCTTTTGTTTGCATGTTCGCTCGAGCGGGGAAACACACGCTTGAGCAGGACCTCTATTTTTTGAAAATTCTGAAAATATTTTTAAAGTGCATTTTTGCATCCTCATTCCATTCTAGGCATTCTTAGGCCTAGTTTAAGGCATCTTAATGAGAATATTGATGTAGAACCACACCGAGTCAAGATAGGGATTAAGTTATTATTTCCCAACTGTGTAGCTTAGTGTGTGTTCACTCTGTAACTGTATAGGGTTGGTATCCGAGGACGCGTACTAGTTTATCTGTAGCCCAGAACTCTGTGAGTAACTATGTTGTAAAGATATGTTCAATTGAGATTATTTTCTGAATAAATGACTGTACTGCTTTATGAAATGA